GATCCAAAGTCCCCAGCCGCTTCATCACTCCATGTCATCGTCTCTGTCTCCATCTCAGGCATCCCTGCTTCTCTGGGTAGGGTCCCGCTCTTGGCTCGTATCCGTTGATGGTCCCAGAGACCTCCGCTCCTACACTGGAGAAATAATCACTCCCTTCCTTGCTTCATTTCTGTTTTTGTTGTTAAAAACGTCTACCTTTGCATTTCCAACCCTCACAATCAGTCATGATTGTTTTCTTCCTGTATGATGTTCTTGATGCCATCCCACAACTCTTGTAGTCTTCAGTCTTTAGTGTTTAATGTATCAAATCTGTTCTTCAGATGATCTCTAAATTCAGGTGGGACATATTCAAGATCATATTTGGCTCTTGTGGACTTATTTTAATTTTCTGCAGCTTCAGCCTGAATTTGCATGTGACCAATTCCCCATTCTTCCCCTGGCCTTGTTTTGGCTGATGCTATGGCAGTTTTCCATTGTCTTTTTCTACAGAAGTAGTCAATTTGATTTCTATGTACTCCATCTGGTAAGGTCCACATGTATAGTCATTTTTTTATGTTATTTTAAAAAGGTATTTGCAATGAAGAATTCATTGGTCTTGTGAAATTCTATCATGTGGTCTCCAGCATCATTTCTATTACCAAGGCCATATTTTCCTCCCTCTTTGTTTCCAACCTTTGCATTCCAGTCACCAGTAATTATCAATACATCTTGATTTCATGTTTGATCCATTTCAGACTTAAGAAGTTGATAAAATTCTTCTATTTCATCACAGGCTTTAGTGGGTTTTGTGTAAATTTGAATAATAGTAGTATTAACTGGTCTTCTTTGTAGGTGTATGAATATATCCTATTACAGACAGCATTATACTTCATGACCGATCTTGATATGTTCTTTTTTCATGACCGATCTTGATATGTTCTTGATATGAATGAGACTCCATTCCACTTCAATTTGTCCTTCCCGGCACAGTAAACCATATGATTTTCTGATTCAAAATGTCCAGTACCAGTCCATTTCAGCTTACTAATGCCTAGGATATCAATATCGTGGACTTACGTTTATATTTATACGTTACGTGTATAAATTTCATGTTTATACATTCCATGTCATTTTTCACAATTTCCAATTTTCCTAGCTTCACACTGCCCATGTTGTAGTTATTAATGGATTTTTCACAGCTGTTTCTCTTCATTTTGAGTTAGTTGTGCCCCATCAGCAAATGAAGTTCCCAAGGGCTTTACTGCACTTGCATCATCACAGTCGGAATAATACTCTTTTTTTTTTAAATCCTGTAGCTTCATTTCTGTTTTTGTTGATAAAGATACCATCGAGTTGATTCTGACTCCTGGTGAGCCCATGTGTACAGATTAGAACTCCTCCATAGGGTTTTCAAGGCTGTGACCTTTTCAAATAGACCACTAAACCTGTCTTCTAAAGCACCTCTAAGTTGTTTCGAACTCCCATCTGTTTATGATCCGTGGTAATCAAACACTTAACTGTCTGTGCCACCCAGGAACTTTCACTTGATTTCTACCCTATAGAAAAGAAAATAGTGCAGCTGGTATACCAGAAAAATGAATATGCTATAAATATAAATTATGTTGAGACTTAACATATAACATGTACATTTTTTAAAGTTATGATTTCCTTTTATAGAAAGGTAGTTGTACTAAGATTTCATCTATCTCAAAGGCTGTTTGATTCTTCACTTTCTCTGTACCACAAAAGACAAAGCTTCTCTATAAGCCCTACATGGGAAAAAGGAAGAATATTTATTGGTCATGTGAAGCTTATAGTTGTTGTTAAGTGCCATCAAGTCAAGTTCTAAGGAGGGTTTGAACTGCTGACCCTGTGGTTCACATTCTAGTGCTGATCCTACAGTGCCACACCAGGAGTAAAGTTTCCATATGGTGAATATCTCTCCTTCCTTCATGATCTTTGATGGAAACTGCAGATTGTGGTAAATAGCATGGCATAGTATTATGATTTTAGACCTTTTTATGTTTCTGGTAAGGAGCTCTGATAGCATAGTGGTTACGAGTTGAACTGCTCATCTCACTGTCAGCAGGTCGAAGCTATCAATGGTTCCGCAGAGGAAAGATGAGGCTTTCTACACCCATGAAGATTTACAACCTTGGAAATCCTATCCAGTCAGTCAGAACTGACTCCACAACATATAACCACCACCACCATCACATCACAGGTTTCTTGTGGAGTCCTGGTTTGGCACTGTGGGTTAATGTACTGGACTTCAAGGTTGGTTTGAACTGCAAGGTCAGCAGTTCAAGTTCACCAGCTGTTCCTTGGAAATCCTATACAGGGTCACTGTGAGTTGGAACCAACTCGACAGCGGTTAAGAACAATGTTTCTGGTATGCTCATCTTTTTGCATTCTGTTCTCAACTTTTTTTCTCTGGAATTGTGAGTAAATAGACTAGGGAAAAATTGGTCGTATGGAAATAAGAGAAAAAGGAATAATAGTAAAAGGAGGTAAAATAGGATGTGGGTGCTCCCGTGATTATAGAAGTTACAGTTATTTCCTTTTGAAGGTCAAATAACTTTTCCATTGTTGGTTATTTCCCTTTCCACTATTCAGGTAACTGTTGCTTACCCTCTCGTTGCCCCATATTTTACACGGAGGTAGATAGAGTCAGACTTGTATGCGCTTTTCTATTTTATTCTCTAGAGATTGTACAAGTACTCCATTTGTTCTGCTGTCAAAACTGGAGGGTATTTCAAAATATTTGCTTGATATTTTTCTAGAAATCCTCAAACAGGGAGGATCTTAGATCCCTATGATATGAAACCACTGGATACACACATTTGAAAAAATACTGGTAGTTCTTAGTATCCTTTTCTTGGCTTTACTATTCTGTGTCTTCCAATGGCAAAATAACATAGCAAGAATTTTACTGTTGTACATGATAGAGAAAGATGGGCTGAATGGTATTGCACTAGTAAACTATATGGAGTCTTGGTGTGGCACTGTAGGATAAACACTTGACCACAAGGTCAGTTTTAACCACAAAGTCAGCAGTTCAGACTCACCAGTCACTCCTTGGAAACCCTATACATTGGAAATCCTGTAGAGTCTCTGTGGGTCGGAACCAACTGGACAGCACTCAACAACAAAAAGTAAACTTTCTGGGAGCCCTGTTGTGATACCAGAGGATATGCATTGGACTGCTAACCTCAAGGTTGGTGGTTCAAACCTATCAGCTACTCCTCAGAAACTCTATATAGGCTCGCTGTGAATCAGAACCACTTGATAGCACTTAACAACAACAGTAAACTATATCATCAGTTAAAGTTTAGCTGAATCATTGAATATTAGAATGAGATGACTTCCCCTCCAATCCATGGGAGCCCTGGTTGCATAGTAGATTATGAGCTGGATTCTACCACTCTCTCTGCAGGAGAAAGAGAAGGCTCTCTGCTCCCATAAGATTTACAGCCTCAGAAATTTTATACAGGCTTGCTATGAGTAGGAATCAACCTGATGGTAAACAGACACTACTACCACCACCTGTCCATATTTTGACTTTCAGATATTTTTGCTTGGATGTCTTTTTCATAAAAATACAAAGACCCGGTATATAGAAAGGACTCCTGGTGTGGCATTGTAGGATCAGCACTGGACTTTGAACCACAGGGTTGGCAGTTCAAACCCACCAACTGCTCCTCGGAAATCCTATACAGGATCACTTTGAGTCGGGACCAACTCAACAGCACTTATCACCAGCAACATAAACATTAGGATTTACAACACATATTTTGAGAGGAAAATTTCTTAGTCCATAAAACTTGAATATTCCTGTTGCATCATCATCACAAATGTCAACTCATGGGAAAGAAAAAAACTTTAGTGTTATAAAACAGTTTTGACCTCATGAGCCTTCTGAAGAACAACCAGAATCACACTGAGAATCCCTACGTAGGTATCATGAAGTATGAAATCTCATACAGTTTGGTGTCTACTGCTAATGTCAAAAATAAACATACCTTCTGTCTCATCAATTGTACTCTATACACATGCATATCAACAGACATTTATAAGATCATAAATAGCAGCATTAGCCATATTTGTTTCAAGCTGGAAACAATCCAAATTTATATCAACAACAGAATAGCTAAATTGCAATAAAATCATACAGTGGAATTATTTATTCTGCAAAAGCCAAAGTTGGGGTGGAAACAAACTTGTGGCTGTCAAGTCTATTCTGGCACATAATGGCCCTATAGAACAGCACTGTGCCATACAGTCTCCAGGTGTGTTATCTTCATGGAACAGACTACGGCCATGTCCGTCCTTCTGTGGAGCAACTGGTCAGGTCCAGTCACTGACTTTTTGGTTAGTATTGTTGTTGTTGTTATATGCCGTGGAGTCGGTTCCAACTCATAGCGACCCTGTACAGGGTTTCCAAGGCTGCAGATCTTTACGGGAGCAGAAAGCCTCATCTTTCTCCCGTGGAGCAACTAGTAGTTTTGAACTGCCAGCCCTGAGGTTAGCAGCCCAATTTGTAACCACTGCACTCCACTGTGCTACCAGGGCGCCTTATACTTATTTACAATAATGAAAATGAATGAATCATAATAAACAACAATATGGTTAAGTCTTATTATAATTTTGGGTGAAATAAGTCAGACAAAAAAAAGAATATATACTATATGATTACATTTATATGATGTTCAGGAACAAAGAGTAATATAAAATTGTAATAGTCTGGTAGTTTATGGTTAATTTGCATGTGTTAATAGACGGTTAATTTTGGAGTAAAATAGGAATTACTTATCAGAGAAGTCTCCTTGATTTGGGCACTTTCCAAGTAGGTATTTTCTCTTTTGAATGTGGATTGAGAAACGCCTTAAATTTCATGAGAATGACTTGTCCTCACATAGGTTTAATTGCATTATGATATTCTAGTTGTGTTAAGTATGTAAATGTAAAAAGCAAACCAAACATGTAAGAGCTTTTAATGACTTAATATTCTTTATTTACAGTCTTCAAGAAAAATGAAGTTATCTGAGGAGAATTTCTTCAATGTTCCTGCTTTCTTAACTGTCTCGGGACAACTTCATCTAGAAGTGATGTCAGGGTACGGAATTTTCATTTTTCTTTTGCTTTAATCAAATATTGATTTTTGTTTAGGTGAGCGTGAAATAGAACTTCCATTTCCAATGTTCAAACCTAAAAACTGGTGTTCTTCTTTATGGTTACCCCACTTGAATGCACAAATAAATTTAGATCAACAATGGAAAATATCCAAGTTTATTACCAGAAAATGAAATTAGTCTGAACTTTTATTTTTAGTGAAATATGTACCACTGTAAATGTGACGATAGGATGTTTTTCTTTTTACTAAATAGGTCCTAAATATCAAACATATAATTAAATTTTTTAAATGATTTATCATGTTACTCAAAGGCAGTTCACTCCTGAACCAGCTATTAGCCCGTTTCATTTTTAGAAAGGGGGAAGGAGGGCACCTGAAGTAGACAGAATCATTTTGATTTTATTAGTTTAATAAAAATAAAATTAACCCATCAAGCCATAATGAGAGACATTGTGGCAAATTAAAAAGTCTTAGAATTAGAATATATTAACTTTAGCCATTGTCAAACCTCTGGCAAGTCACCATGTTACTTTGGGTCCAACCTTCCTTTGCTTTAAAACAGGAGATCGGACAGATATTAAGGTCGTGTCTGAATCTAATTTTTTATAATTTTGTGAATACATACTGACTCAACAAATGCTGAGTTTTTAAAAATATATCTTGGTTTTCTCATATAGGCACTAGGATTTTAAAAATCTCTTCAGGAAATGGCTTTTGTGAAAAGAAGGGAATTTTTATGTGCTTTCAATTGTTTTTAAAATGTATACATAGGAAAACTCAGAGGACTCAGAATAGTTTGTGTATTTATTTTTGCATATTACTTTGATAACAGGATGGAATGCCAGTGGTGATGTAAAGCTAGTCCTAAAAATAATGTGTACTTTATTTAGATTCTTTACTGGTTTATCTTTGAGACAAAATAAATGTTATTAGGTAATTCTAATGATGAAATAAGTGACAGTACTATCAGAATACTATTCAGAAAACCTGTTGTCATAATATCCAGAATTTGCAAAGCTGGGTGTGAGAAAGACCATATCAGTTATATCATGGAAAGTTCCTTATGCCTTCAAAGGATAATTTTCAGAAATTCAAAACATAACTCTCATACAAATCTCAAACAAACAGTTGTCAAAGATTTTTTTTCCAATTCATTTATAATTCATGGAACGAGTAAAATAGAAGAACTAGCTCAAAGAACAGTTGAGGAACTCTATATTCACAAGCTACTTAATAAAGGCATTTTAGATTGTCTAGGTTTATTACAAACTGGTTAAAATCCTGCAAATCAGTAAACCCTAATCTCTTGCACCTAACAGAAATTATTTTTACCTCTACTGAACAAAAATTTACAACTTAACATGTAACTTCACTTAATCTGGGATGCTTAATTCAGAAGTAAATAGAACAGTGAAACAAACAAAGTATATTCTCGAGTAATTGAACAATTTTTTAATGGGACTGTGTCACCATATGACATTGAAAGGACATGCAGTCTATCCCCCTTATGTACAATTATTGGATAACTTTTCTTCAGAGCCTTTCAGTATTCATTTAGTTTATCTTTAAGATGTCATGACAGTGTTATTTTACTTGTTAAGTTACCAGTGAGTCAGTTTCGACTCATAGCGACTCTATATAGGGTTTCCAAGGAGCAACAGGTGGGTGTGAACTGACGGCCGTGTGGTTTACAGTCCAGTGCTGATCCTACATGTAGCGCCACACCTGGAGTCCTCAGTAGACAGGTCTGTGAGGGGGACAGTAACACTAGTCAGGTGTTATAATCCTTATAGTCAAACATATGCCTTACAATCAAAAGGGCTGAATTGACCCAAGCATTTCAGAAGGGTTAGAAAAGAAGGAAGGATAGAAAGAGGAAACAGGGAGTGATGTTTTATTGAGGGGATTGCATTCAGTGAGATGAAGCAAAATGTGTAGGAATTGCTGAGTGTAAAACCGCTGATCTGCTTTCTAAACCTTCACCCAGTTCACAATAAAAAGATAAAAAAAAAAAAAAAAAAAAAAGAGTGGCCCTGGGGATAGCGAAGGGTCAGTGAAGAGTCTTTATTTGTGGAAAGAAGCAAATACCCTTTGCTTCTCTATTATAATAGCGGCCCTGGTGTGACACTGTAGGATAAGCACTAGACTGCTAACCAAAGGTCGGCAATTCAAACCCACCAGCCACTCTTTGGAAACCCTATACAGGGTTACTGTGCATCAGAACCAATACAACAGCACTTAACAATTGTTGTTGTCAGGTACCATCGAGTCGGAACCGACTCATAGTGACCCCATGCACAGCAGAACGAAACAATGTCCGATCCTGGGCCAACAACTGCAGTGTATTAAATGAAAGAGACCTGATGGTGCTATAGGGTAAGTTTTTACTGCTAACCGCAAGGTTGACAGTATAAACCTACCAGTCACTTCACAGATTAAAGAGGAGCATGTTAAGTATGTTCCCTTTTTCTCAGTAAACGTCTGTGAATTCCAGAACATAGTGTACTATGAAATTTGACAGATTAAATTGGCAGAATGCTAGATTTTATTATTTTTGATGTGTTATAAAGTATTTCTAATAATGTCAATCAAATGTTTCTTGTTTAATATGCATAATTCTAAGTCTATTAACATACAGTGTATCGTGTTTCAAATTAATGCATGATCTGATTGTCACTATAATATTGTTAATCCTATTAACTTCACACTTAGTTGATTTTCTTTCATTTTATGTAACAGACATAAAAGGGAGTACATGGTAATTAAATTTAGAAGCATGACATTTTCTAAAATTATACCTATGTTGGTTAAATGGGTTTATGGCGCCATTTTAAATTAAAACATTTTTCAAAACTTTCTATTTTGGAGTAACGTTAAGATTTACACAAAAGTGACAAAGATAGTACAGGGAGTTTCTGTATAACCTTACCCAGTTCCCCCGTTATTCACATTTCCTATTACCATGATACATTTGTTGAAACTAAACACCTGATTTTAGCACACATTGCTGTTAACTGAATTCCAGACTTTATTTGGATTTCACCAGCTTTCCATTAATGTTTTCTTTCTGTTCCAGGATCTGGTTCAGGATAGCAGTTTACATTTCGTTGTCATGTTTCTCCAGTCTTCCCTAGCCTATGGCAGTTTCTCAGACCTTCCTTGGTTTTTTTTTTTTCAGGCCCTTCATAGTCTTGAGGAGTACAAATCAGGTCTCCAATAGAATGAGCCCCATTCTGGGTTTGTCTGATGATTTTCATATGATTGGAGTTGACTTATATGGGTGTTTAGAAAGAATGTCACAAAGTTAAAGTGTTCTCATCATATCTTAACAGGTTGCATGTGATATCCATATCATGATACTACCAGTCATCATTTGGTTAAGGAACTCGGCTAGATTTCTCCACTGCAGTTACTATTTTCCATTTCCCTTTTCTGTTCTTTGGAACTGCATAACTAAGCTTAGCTCTTACTCACCAAGGGCAGAAGGTATGTCAGAAGTAGAAGAAGCAACATCCCTGGAAGGGAAGTATTCAGAATTCTGTGTGATTTGTTGTTTCTTCTCCCTGGTTATTCATATATTCATTCAGTCATCTTTACCACAATAGACTCATACATAGTTATTTTATACTTTGAGTTATAATCTAATACTATGTTAGTTATTTTGTTGCTCAAAGGGAGTGCTGCAGTTTTAACTGTTGGGAACTCTATCAGGTTGGCTCCTGTGTCCCTTTGTTACTGCCTCCATCCTTTTGTTTTCAGAGTACATCCTTAGTTTCTGGAACTGTAGGATGTTTCAGGCTTACCTAGCTCTAAGGCATTTTTCCCAAGTAGCTCTGATTTCTTTTATTTGAAAATGAATTTTAGAAACCAAGAGCTGGATATTAAGTGTGCTAGTTGCTACTGGGGTGCCATAGTTTTTCAGTCCTTAGTGGATAGAGCTATAAATATACTTTTAAATTACTGAAAGCTAAGTTTTTTATTTCCTTCTGCCTATAAATATGCAAATGAGAAGCTAATTCTGAGAGAATGAGGAATGTTCTAATTTGTAAACCTGCATATAAGAAATGTCACGCAATATAAATTTCCCATCTCTTATCATTCAAATCCACAAGTGGAGGAAGAGTCAGCCTAATGTATTTGAAAAAGTTTGGAGTGTTGATGTTCAGTGCCATTGAGTTGGTTCCAACTGAGAGCGACCTTATGCACAACAGAAGGAAACATTGCCAAGTCCTGTGCTATCCTCACAAGTGTTACTATGTTTGAGCCCATTATTGCCGCCACTGTGTTACTCCATCTCCTGGGTGTCGTCTTTTTAGCTGGCCCTTTTTTTTAACTTTTATTATGAATTGAGTGGTAGTTTACATGGGAGAACATCAGTTTTTCACTCATCCTATGTGTGTTCAGTGAAAAGCACAAAAAAGTAAAAAAAAGACTACAAAGATGGTATTTATAGCCTTCATTTACATTTGTTTGAAAGATGACATAATACTTTATGTCAAGAAAACTGATGGTAATGATTATCTCACTATTGCATTTTCCTTTTAGGCATCTGTCATTCTTCCACTTTTTTTTTTAGTATTTTACTCTTTATAAACATAATTAGGAATACATGATTTGTTGTTGTTAAGTGCCGTCAAGTCAATACATGATGACTAATGATAAAAACAATTATTCCTGTAATGGTAAAATACAAAAATGTTTCAAGGCAGAGGAAAAATAAGATTAATAAAATCACATATGTGTTTTAAATTCATGAAAACATTAAAGGAGTTTTATTCTACTTAAAAAGAAATTTCTCTGTTTTTTAGAAGACCTCTGAAGTAGTTTGAATTGTTTCCCCAAAAAGGATATATTCAAGTCCTAAACCACAGTCACTGTGAATGTGACCTTATTTGGAAGTAGAGTTTATGAGAAATTAAATCAAGTGAAGATGAGGTCATATTATATTAGGGTGGACATTAAATCTGATGACAGGTATCTTT